GTTGCGTATTTTCTGTCAAATATTCTACCTCGGCCGTAGAGGCGTTTGCTTCTAATAATTAAGCTCACGGTCCCCAAGGGAAGTGTGTTAGCGCCGGTGGATGAACCGGATCAGAGAAGTCGATCGGTGCCCGAGAGGAGGGAAGCGACCCGAAATCCACAACAAGTACAGCTGACCTGCCGGCCCAGAGCCGCCTTCTGCAGCCGAGCAGCTGCTTTGCCTCTTGAGAGGCCCAAGACACAGAAAGCTAAATAAAATCATCTCTCTCTGTTTTATCAGCGCCAGGGAAGTGGCCTCATTCATAATGATTAACTCAGAATTCATCATAACTTTCTCCTCCGTTCCCCAAAGAAGGCTTGTGTAGCAGGAGACAGGCCCTAAGTAATACCTCTTTGGTAGAAATAAGGTTTTGCTAAGTTTTTCTTACGTTGCACTTGCTTAAATACAGGAATCCTAACCGTTCAGTTTCACTTCCAGAAGCCTTTATATGGACTTTTTTCTCTGCCTTAGGTCACTTCCAGGTCTGTACGTGAATCTTCCGCTGCATTTGCCATCTCCTTGTGGACACCACAGTCTTGTTTGTTAATTGAAATCCTGAAATCCTGAAACGTCGTCGTTCAGTGCTGTACAGGGGCAGGTCATGCTGATGCCTTTCTGAGTGCATTTATTTTATGAAGCATTTCTGGCATTTTGGTATATGGAGCCAATATTGAATTTTTTCTTCCAAAATCATTATTCCTGAGTTACTGATTGTTGTAGTTAAAATTAACCAAACTAATGGATTGCACTAAGCTGGGTGTACTATTAAAGCTCTGCCTGCAGGTTTAAGTGGTGCATTCCTTTATGCAAGAATGAATTTCCTCCTTCAGGACCTAGCCTATAAAAACTGTGTTAATCTGACAAGTAACTCCAAATACCTACCAGCTTTCTTTTATAAAGAAGTCTATTTTAAAATTAAAGAAACAGAAAAACTAATTCTGTTGATTGTATTAGAAACCCAAGGTTTTATCATTTACCTGCTGTACCACAGCAGTAATTCTCTCTTGCTTGTTCTAGAAGTGAACAGAGTTTGTTTACTAACATTGCTACACAAAAAAATTGATGTGGTAAACTGACGTTCATGTTCAATATGTTTATTTACATTGTGTTCCACATGTTGTTTATTTTCAGATCAATGTGACTGTTTTTACAGAGTTACCAGTGACCTTTCAGTCACTGTCAAGCTGAGATGCACTGACCGTCACTGTCCTGATTGCTAGTTCAAAGCAAGCACAAAAAATGTTCAGAAGTTTATGATCTAAGGTGAGGCCTCCTTGTAAGTCCTATCTTATCATTCTCATCCTGAGAATATTCTTACACTGAGGTACT